CATGCTCTTTAAAGTGACACTAAATCCCGATTTATTTTTGTATCAATGATGTCCATTTGTATCTCTGCCCTCTCAACCTTCTATGTGTTATCTTACCTAAAAAAGTTTTGCCAGCCTTCAGCAAATTAATGTTGCTATTCTTTGTTTGTTTTCTGTCTACAATGCATCCAGGAGGAGCAGATAATCTAAAGTCAGTAACACTCAGATGGGTTACCTAACATAGAAAAATTAAACAATCCTTCTATATGATCTGCTTGAATTGTCTCTCTAAACTACCTTGAGATGACGTGTTTTATGAAATGGCCATAAATGACTAAACTAAACTGAATTGAGCTTTAACCCTAATCAATGCCCTTAGAAGGCAAAAGTTAACCAATATGCGTTGTATCTAAAATTTATATAAAGGTTTTGTGAAGGATTCATCTTATGCTGATTGCTGTGAATACCTAAAATGTATAAATGTATAAACCTGGCAATGATTTGTTGTTTTTGTTTCAGAGATTTCAGCTTCTACAATTGAAAGAACACTCATTATAATACATATTTTAGACTTAATAACAATAAGACTAAAATAAAGGTTTTGACAACATAGAAGGAAGAGTGAAGTTCAATTGTCTCCCTTCTTGAACACACAATGTCAAACTGAAACAACATACAGTCTCATGTTATGTGATACACACATGTAACACTATAACGAACATGGGTCATTTTATATGTTTGAGTTTTTTTTTTGTATGTTTGCAAAATGCTATCATTTTAGGGTCCAGTTCCTGGTAGAAACAATATAAAAAGGTTTGGTTTTGGAGCTGATCACCACTTCCAGACAGAAAAGCTGAGGCTGAAGTCTGAAACTACACTAAAAGAAAGAAGGTAATTCTGCTCTGAAATTTCTTTCATTTTATGTTATACCAACAATTATTTATTTACAGTAAACAATTTGATGTCTGTTTTCTCCTTTTTCGAGGTGAACATTTTTCTCCAACTGCATTGTCTCCATCATGAAGCTGCTTACTCTGTCATTCCTCCTTTGTGCCCTGCTGGCCCTCAGCCTTGCAGCTGGTAAGTATATTATGTCTGACATATGATATACATAAATCATTTCTATAGAATCACAAGTATAATAATATCAAAAAAAAATTTCATCCGAATGGTAGCTAAAAATATTTGCATGTAAAATTCTAAATCTAATACCAGGATCTTTTTACAGATTGGCATATTAAACATATGTATAATGTGTCCACTACATATGACTCTACATTATAGTTGCTTTAAACTAATGTTGAGTTCATCCTTAAAGCATTACAGATACTAGTACACGGTAAGAAGACAAGTTTCCGTGTTGTGCTTTTTTTTATCAATGTTAATTTTCTATATATTCACTAAGAGGTGGGCCAATTTGGTTAAACACGCTGGTCTTGAACAAAGAGAAGTATGGAATGGATGACCATGCAACGCCTGTTATTTAATCTATGCCCTGTAGCGTCTAAGGATTAATAAATGTATGTATCTCTCATACTTTATTTCAAAACAGCCTGGTATATAATTTACCCCTGCTATTTCAGGTAGACCTGTCTTTCCCTGTTAGTTAAAAGTTGTTAGATGTAACAAAGTTGTTTCAGATGTAACTTGGCGGTAGTAACATTGTGCGTTCCCTAAAAGTAACTACCTTTGTATTGTAATGTGCTCACAAGAAAAAAATAAAAAATGTCAACAAAAAAAAGTTCTACATGGCCAAAGTGACATGTTTAGGTTAAAAGCTCCCCAATAATGGAGCTCAGATTTAAGTGTCGTTGCTCTCCTTCCGTGTTCCCAGCCGTAATCAGATAAACGAGCTGAGTGCATAAAGATTGGTTGCAATAATGCCGCATTTTCCCTCCATAGATGCAAAGAATGAATCTGGGACTGAAGAGGCTGTTTCTGAAGGTGGGTGTACAATAAATCATTATAATAGACTAAAATCCAATCAAATACAGAAAGTTTAATAATAATAATATAATAAAAGTTGACTTAAACTGAGTAATAATAGAACTAATTTGTGATTAGTTGAGTAACTTGTCTCTCTAAATAAATGCACTTCAGGGCTGAGAAATAGTGGAAAAAAATCAGATAGAATAGCTGAGTACATAAAATACACCTTAAATGAAGCCATTTAAATTCCGCAGAGGCCAAGGATGAAAGTGAAACTGACAAGGTTGTTTCTGAAGGTGAGCCCACAATACATCATCATGATCAAGAAAGAAATAATAAAGAGACCATTTACATCATTTTAGATTTATGTTTAAGAGTTCTACTGTTCTTTTAACTTTCATTTTTATTTGTCCAGAACCCGAGAATGAGGAAACTGCTCCAGAAGGTGAGTAAAAATTTAATTAACTGTCAAAGATGACGAAGGAAACCTGCTCAGTGAATGGAATCTATTTTTCCCTTATCTATTTTAAAACATATACTTTATTTAACTGTTAATTAATGTTAGTTTTTTTTTTCCTGCTTTAGAAGATGAATCTGAGGAGGAGGATGCAGCTCCAGAGGGTTAGTTTGAATCTAATTCCCTCTAACTGTTGTTAAAGTAACCAATCAAAGTCAAGTATATAAATTACTTAAAATATGTGCAATTCTTTCAGAAGAAGAAACTGAAAGTGATGCAGACCAATCAGGTAGGTTGTGGATTTAATGGAATTTTTCAAAAAATTATGTTTTTAAGAAACATAAAAAAATGTAAACAATTTTTTGCATCAGAAAAATTGCAACATAAAATTTTTTTGCAAAAAGGTCTTCATATTTTAATCTTTTACATTCTTTACTGTGTTTCAATCAGAGAAAAGCCACGTGGTAAAGAGAGCGACATCTTGCCCCAGAGGTTGGACAAAATATGGATCTCGTTGTTACCTCTATGTTGGAATTAGTTACCCCTGGGCTCAGGCTGAGGTAACATGCTCTCTGTATATAGCGATTTGTATACTTTAAATTTAAAAATAATTTTCAGAAAATAACAGCAGGATTTCAGTACTAGCAAACATTTTTCCTGTCAGATAATAGTTTCTTCCTTTTTGTGTCTTAATACCACTTCAGCGTTTCTGTATCGCCCGTGGTGGAAACCTTGCATCTGTACGAAGCTCAACTGAATACAATTGGCTAAGAAGCTATATTTACGGCAGGACTCGTTCATACAAAAATACTTGGATCGGAGGTTCTGATGCTCAGCAGGTATGTCTAAGGAACCATTCCTAGTATTGTTTTCTAAAATTGATGCACAACTTTACATTTTTTTATTTTTATTTTTACCTAAAAAAGTTATTAATAACTACCTAGGCAATAAATGTACAAATAAAATTAGACATCTTTAGCCTGCTGTTATTTATAAAGCTGTGAAGAATCTCCTCATACTATGTTGTAGAATGTGCTTTAAAAGTTGTTTGCTCTAATCTTCTCTAGGAGCGTTACTGGTTTTGGAGCGATGGGACTCCTTTCAGGTATCAATCCTGGTGCAGGGGCATGCCGAGGACAAGTTCTAGACACAGCTGCCTTGTCATGAACTACTCAGGTAATCAGATTAAAGAGTCAGGAAAATACTGTGATATTTAATTAATCTAAAAAAAAAATGCTAACCATTATTCTGAATAATAAGTTTCTCTGAGAAGTTTAATAACAATCTTTTAATCCCCATATTTAGCATGCAGATGCTGGATGGACTATCTATGCATTCAACGATACCCATTCGTCTGTGTCAGGAAGTAAACATCAGAAGTGAAGACTTATTACGTAGAAAAAATCTGATCAGTCTTATTTTTCTTAACCTATCTTCTGTTACTGCATTGCTAAGTGTTTGAAGAGACAAGATAAAGAAAGTCAGGTTGATTGTCTCTGAGGTCATGCACCAAAGAGCCAAAAAGGAAGAGTTCTGGAAAGAGTATTTTATGCAAAGCTTTTCTCTGCAGAGTAACTGTATTTTCTCTTCTTTTACCTATTAAAGTTTCTGAAGCATGAAAAGAAGTTGTCTTTGCGTCTTTATCTGCCATTTTTGGAAGGTTTTTCTCTGGATATGTTGGGTGCCTTTATAATGTCAACAATCCCAAATCAATCCCTGTTCATCGTGTTTCACAGCTCAACACCAAACTATAAATGTCAGAGATTAAAATTACAATAATCTTTTATGAATACAAAGCATTTTTATTTCTTTTAACAGTTAAAAGTGTCAGTCTGCTTAGGTGGTGCAGTGGTTAGCGCGCACAACCCATGTATGGAGGCCTTAGTCCTTGATGTGGCCGAACTGGGTTTGAATCCGACCTGTGGTCCTTTGCCGCTTTTCTGTCCCCCTCTCTCCACTTTCCTGTCAGCCTACTGTCGAAAAAACTCCAAAAAGAAAGAAAATAGATAGCTGAAAGTGTCATTCGCAATCTCACAGCCCGCAGTGAAACATAATTATAAACATACATGGAGACAAGTACTTGATAAGAAAAAAACTTAGACTTGGTAAGAGTTACATTTGAGCCCCAGGGAGACTGAGAGGGAATCTGAAGGGGGGTTGTCCACGGGTGGGTTAGCATAAAGGAAGATGGTGATGTAGAGGGCTGCCCTGAAGGAGTTGAGAGCAATGGAGGGTGAGCAGTTTTCACCAGGAAGTTTGATTAGAGCCTTTGGGTGCCAGTTGTGGAATGGAGACCAGAAGTCTATTGTTACTGCAGGCATGTTGGGGGGTTAAGATCCAGAAACCAGAGATATTATGAGATGAGCCAAAGCTTTATTGAATGTGTTGACCAATGGAATTGGCATTTCCACTCAGACTCGGTATTCGCTCAAAATGTGGGTGTTTGGTGGGGCATTGCAGTTAGTTCTGGTTTTGAATCGAGTTTTGATAGTAAAGTGAGGATAAGGAGTGGATGCAGCTAGGAAAAGGATTTCACCAATGTAGACATATTTTTACTTGAGTTCTACCAGTAACAGACTTCACGCCAGCAAGTATTAGCATAATGACCTATAGGCTAATGGATGAATTTTAATAAACATAATGAAAACATTGTTTTTAAATACACCTACATCCTTAATTGCATGTAATACATGGAAGCCTGGATACCTAATGACTTGGTCAGGGCTATGAAACCATGGACCACCTGCTGCCCCACAAGCTTCAGACTCTTTTATTGACTGTCATGTTGGTGAACACATACTTTCCCACCTTCATTCAGAGAGCACAACTTTTAAAGTGTCCAGATCGTTCTAAGAAAGGAGAAAGAGATGGCTGGAGCAGACAAGAAAAAAGAAAAAATTGAAGTTCCCCTTTTCACCCACCCCCCAACCACTTTATGCTCATAAAAAATATTAACTTTATTTTTTACAGTTTCTAAATTAAGTTACAGATGAGTTGTTTATTGTGATCCAAGGAGTTGGGGTGCAATAAAAACAACTCATCAAAGATAAGGACTCTCAAGGTCAGGTCCAAAGTGTGTTTCTTTTGTTCTGTCTTAGAAAAGGAAATTAAATAAAAAACAAAATGGTTGGAAAAACTATTATTTCATAGAAAACTATTTTTTGAAACTATACAGCAACCTACGGATCAAACAGCACTTACACGTATCTCACCACCATAGTTGTATGTAATCTGTAAATCTTTTATCTGCTATTATCTGTCATTATTTCTCCTGTATTAATTTGTTTTTAGCCTCTTACAATTACTCTCTGTTTATAAATACAGTTTATAGTATTTACATATTTGGTCCCTGCGCACATGTAAATAAATATTTATATCCTGTATAGCACTTCTGGATAGATGCACACAACTTTTCGTTGCTTCGTACTTGTGACAGTGTAATGACAATACAGTTAAAATCTATTCTTTTCTATTCTATTTTATTGCAGCAGCACATCTGATCAGGTGGAGATTGGATCAGATTAGGCTGATCCAATGGCTCCCTCAGGTGGAGACAGAAGTTTCCAAAAACAAACCACAAACTTCACTGCTCTCTGACAGTTATAATATTTGTATAATTATACTTTTATCAAAAAGAATTAGAGTCATGATCATCAAGTCAATTTGCAATTTATCCTCCTTTTGCAAACCAAATGTAATCATAAAACAATCAAATTAATTACCCATGTACATAAAATGGTTTTAGCATGCATAGGTTTTTCATTTCATGCTCAACCAAAACTAATCATCACAAATATTGTCATTAGTAAAGTAGGATTTTACAGAAATGATCTCTAAGCAGGACCAGAATGACAGTAGAGCTTAAGACAGAAAATTATAAAGGTCAGCTATAGAGACAGTAAGAAGCAAAGCTGAATTTAGAAAGAATGGAGAAAATATTCTAAGCACTACATTTTTTCTATATTTAGTTTTTTGAGCCTTCTTCTATGTGGTACTTATTTACTCTCTTCACAAAGCTCTACAAAAAGCACCTTACCATACATAAGAAAATGGAAATTTAGACTGTTTTGCAAATTGCTTAAAAATAAAAATAGATTATGAATAACTTAGCACAGTGCTTTGTTGATCTCCAAGATATTGAATAAATATTACCTACATACCGACATGAAAATAGTTGCTCCATTTTATATCATTTGTGGTCAGCTGATCAAGCAATCAGCAGCTTTTGTTCATCTTTCACATTTAACTTCCAAGCCCTACTGTGTTCTACTGTGTGTGTACTAAATAAGCTGAAATTTCATGTTTCTCACTGACAACATTCAACCCTTTATTACATGCATTTTAAACCCAAATTCACATGTATTATGCAAAATCCTGTAACTTTGTGGTAGTATGCTCCTGCATGGGAAATTTTCACTTTGGGACGAATTGCGATTGGTCAGTTGCTGACAAGCCTCCTCTATCGATTGACAGGTTTTTTTTACATATCCCATATTATTTTATTATGAATAAACACTTGCAACAAAGTAAAGTAGAAATATGAATACTTTAAAAAGATAACATGTTCTGGATTTAATACAAAAATAAAACTTTAAAGCTTGAAGTAATTACATTTTCAGGGTAGTTCCTTTGTAGTTGTTTTTTTTTTTTTTTTGTCAGTGTGGTATTTCTTTAGTTGCTCACTGTTGCCCCTTGTGCCTGTTCCTTTCGCCTTGGCTTCCTCCTAGTTAGTCCCATTACACCTGATCCATATCAGCTTATTAGTCCATCCCTTGTTCTTTTCCCCATAAATATAGCACCTCTACAGTTCCTGTTTGCTGGTTTCTTGTTGTTTGGTTGCTTCCTTGTCTCTTGCTCCTAATGGGTATTTTCCCTGATGTTTATTGGATTTTGCTTGGTTTTCATACTATAACAGTCTGATAACATTTTTCCAAGCCAGTTCTGTGTATCTACAGCTAAACAGAACTGGTTGGGTGGTATAAAGGATGGAGGGTGATACTGATCCAAATATTTTTTATATTTTTAAACACCATTTTGCAATTCCCAATTAGTGTATCTCACTATTTACTCAGTTCTCAACATGTTAAGTAATGGATGGAAAGGGTAATATGAGATTACTGTATGCTGCTGCTGACTCATTGAACAAAAGGGTCAATCCAACTGTTGTTGAAGTTATTACTTGCTTTACTGGAACTGATATAGTGTCAGTGTTTGCAGTGCAAACAGTCATCTTTTAGACTCCCTGACTCAGTTACATGTGTTTCAACTGATGCTTACATGATGATTGACAGTCACAAGAGTTTTCTAAGGAATAGTTGAATATTCTCTTCTGTTAACTTCCACAGTTCATAATCACTGCCATACAAGATGAAAAACTGTGTATTTATGCCTAAAAATACTAATGTTTTATTTTTTATTTTTTAAATCGAACAAATATATATATCCATTTTTACTAAGGAAACTATAAATCCATACTACTATATGAACTAACGAGTTTAGTTTTTCTTAAAATTGAATTATGACCCAACTTATTGTTGAAAGGGAGCTTTTACTGATCACTGCTGCTCGTTGTATAAAATGTAACATTCTTGTTTGACAGCTTAAAAGTGTTTTTAACTTCACTTTAATGTTAATGAGTGATGTCAGAAGCACAGGACTTCTGGATAAAATACTTTTTTTTTAGTGCTGTTGTTGTCACAACTTGCAGATTTAGACCAATGCATGCCTGACGTACCAAAAATCTTGCAAAACGCTGATAAGTTATGGGTAAGTTTTGTATAAGTTATGAGCACGCTAAAACACACTGAAGCATGCTGGCACATGTTGACATACGGAAACATTTCACAACATATATGCTCATACGAGGGGCATATGTTACCGGTAAGCTATCTAAACATTGATATAAATTAAGTATAAGTTACCCATAAGTTGGGGCATCTAGCTTATCCAAAACCTATGAATAACTTGTGCATAACTTCTGTAAGTTATCAAGAACTTATTTCCAACGCATATCAGTGTATCTGATGTGTTCCAGAAGACCGCTGAAAATGTGACGTGAACTTACAGCTACTGTATAATGGCATATCTTAGCCCCCTTTGGGGTAAACCCACCACATCACATAGAAAACTCCAAAGACTTTGCTAACAAAGTCAAACATTTAAGGATGGCACCAGGAGAAACTCTGGTGTTGTTTGATGTTACTTCACTTTTCACATGCATACCTATAACAGAGGCAGTGGAAACAGTCAGGACAAGTCTTCAACAAGATAGTGACTTAAACAACAAGACTAATTTCACTCCTGACCAGATCTGCACACTACTGGGCCTTTGTCTTTACACAACTTATTTCAAATTCAGAGATAATTTTTACAGACAGAAGCATGGCTGCGCAATGGGATCTCCAGTATCACCAATTGTAGCCAATCTTTATATGGAAGAAATGGAAAGAGAGCTTTAGACACTTTCAATGGAATACCACCAAGCCACTGGTTTAGATATGTGAATGACACATTCGTCAAAATCCAGCAAGAGGAAGTGGAAGCTTTCACAAGGCACATCAACCCTGTTGACCATAACATCAAATTCACCAGAGAGGATGCCAA